TTGGACTTAAGATTTTCTTTGGTTGATGAGTCTATTTCCTCTAGTGTGTCTTCAACTCCTGATATTCTCTTTTCCATCTCTTGTATTCTGTTGGTTATGCTTGCTTCTGTAGTTCCTGATCATTTACCCAGCTTTTCTATTTCCAGCATTCCCTCAGATTATGCTTTCTTTATTGTCTGTATTAGCTTTTAGGTCTTGAACTGTTTCCTTGAGAGATTTGTTGATATCTTTTATTTTTTGGCTTGGTTTTTCTTCCATTTCTTTAAAGGATTTTCTCATGTCCTATTTGAGGTCCTCTGTCATTTTCATGAAGATGTTTTTAAGGTCATTCTCTTCTGCTTCATCTGCATTGTGATGTTCAGGTCTTGCTGGTGTATGGTTCCTAGTCTCCAGTGGTGTCATATTGGGTTTTCTGTTGTTGAATGTGCTTTTACACTGACCTCTTCTCATCCTTTCTTCTGGTGGGTAGCAGGAGTCTCTTCCTCTCCTTGTGGGTAGGAGCATGGTTCCCTTATGGTAGATGCAAACAGTTCCAATACTCTGATGTCTGTCCTCTAGTCATGGATGGAAGTGGCTCTGTTACCAGGACCTTGGCAGTGTCTGAGTGTGTTGGATCCCGCCACCGAGTTTGGATCTATCTGGTGAACAGATCCCTGGCATCTGTTGCCTCTGAGCAGGGTCACTGAACTGGAACCGGAAACAGCTCCTGGCCCACCCGGGCTGGTGGGTGGAAGTGGAACTGCCACTGGGGCATTGGCAGTGTCCAGGTGTCTCAGTTATTTCTTAAGCTAAGTGGGAGCTAATATTGTGGACTTCCAGTGGGGCTGTTTTACTCAAAACTTAAAATGCCTTGGAAGCACCTAGATGTCAAGTCACCGTGGACAATTTTCTTTAAAAGTCTTTCCTTGAGGAAGTAAGAGTCTCCCCCCAGTGTGTCTGGAGAGTAATATGAGACATTACAACCTCAACTGTGTCTTCAACACTATTTCCTGGGTGTATTTGTCTTCTTTTGATTTGGTAGTTTTAAAAGCTCTCTCAATATGCTTCAAATACATTAAGAGAAACTGTGCAGGCAGTTTGTACATGAATGGAGACGATGTAACAGGGAACAGCAAGTGCTGATGAGCCAGTTTGACAGTATCAGCAGACAGTCACAGAGAGAGGCCGGCAAAGGAAAACTCATGGAATCTAGTCAGAAACATATTTGTCTGCACTGAACAAATTGCATGCTTTTTTCTGCTAACAGAGGCAGAAGATTCCTTCTGTAGCACCATGTCTTTCTGCACTAAAATCATCTGGCTCTGGGCTTGTTTTGGTTGGGAGACTTTTGATGACTGCTTCTCTTTTGTTAGGGGTTAAAAGGATCTATATTGCTTATCTGTTCTTGATTTAATTTTGGTAAATGATATCAACCCAGAAAATTGTCCATTTCCTTTAAATTTTCCAATTTTGTGGAGTACAGGTTTTCAAACTATGACCTGGTGATTCTCTGGATTTCCTTAGTGTTTGTTGTTATGTCCCCCTTTTCATTTCTGATTTTGTTAATTTACATGTTCTCTCTCTGCTTTTTGGTTAGGTTGGGTAAAGATTTATCTATCTTGTTGGTTTTCTCAAAGAACCAACTCTTTGTTTCATTGATTCTTTGTATTGTTTTCTTTTTTCTACTTTATTGATTTAAGCTCTCAATTTGATCATTTCCTGGTATCTACTCTTCCTGGGTGAGTTTGCTTCTTTTTCTTCTAGAGCTTTCAGGTGTTCTGTGTTCTCTTGTGTGGCTATTCTCCAGTTTCTTCATGTAGGCACTTAGTGCTATGAACTTTCCTCTTAGCACTGCTTTCAGAGTGTCCCATAGCTTTGGGTATGTTGTGCCTTTATTTTCATTAAATTCTAGGAAGTCTTTGATTTCTTTATTTCTTCCTTTACCCAGTGATGCAGTTGAGCATTGTTCAGTACCCATGAGTTTGTAGGGTATCTGCAATTTGTATTGTTGCTGAATTCTAATTTAAAGCCATGGTGGTCTGATAAGATAGAGGGCATTATTCCAATTTTTGTGTATCTGTTGAAGTTTGTTTTATTGCCGATTATGTGGTCAATTTTAGACCACAATGTGGCACTGAGAAGAAGGTATATTCATTTGTGTTTGGATGGAATGTTCTATAGATGTCTGTTAAACCCAATTGGGTCATAACTTCTGCAAGTTCCTTTGTTTCTTTGTTAAGTTTCTGTCTGGTGGTCCTGTCCTGTGGTGAGAGTGGGGTGTTGACGTCTCCCACTATAAATGTTTGGGGTTTAATGTGTGATTCCAGTTTTAGTAACGTTGCTTTCAAGAATGTTGGTACCTTTGTGTTTAGGGCATAGGTGTTCAGAATGGAGACTTCATCTTGATGGATTTTTCCTGTGATGAATGCGAAATGACCTTCTTCATCTCTTTTGATTGATTTTAGTTTGATGTCTAATTTGTTAGATATTAGGATAGCTACACCAGCTTGCTTCTTAGGGCCATTTGATTGGAAAATCTTTTCCAAACCCTTTAATCTGAGGTAACATCGTTTTTTTTTTTTTCAAAGTTGAAGTGTGTTTCTTGTCTGCAGCAGAAGGATGGATTCTGTCTTCGTATCCATTCTGTTAGTCTGTGTCTTTTTTAGAGATGAGTTAAGACCATTGATATTGAGGGATATTAATGACCACTGATTGTTGATTCTTCTTTGTTTTGGATTTGTTTTTGGTAGTGGTATTGTGTGTGAATTTTTTCCCTATTTCTGGCTTTTGGTAAAGTGGGATTATCTATTGCCAATGTTTTTGTGAGTGTAGTTAACTTCCTTGGGTTGCAGTTTTCCTTCCAGTACTTTCTGTAGGCCTGGATTTGTGGATATGTATTGTGTAAATCTGGTTTTGTCATGGAATATTTTGTTTTCTCCATCTATAGTGATTGAGAGTTTTGCTGGGTATGGTCTGGACTGGTATCTGTGGTCTCTTAATGTTTATACAACATCTATCCAGGACTTTCTGGCTTTCAGAGTTTCCATAGAGAAGTCAGGTGTAATTCTTATAGGTCTGCCTTTATATGTTAATTGGCCTTTTTCTTTCGCTGCTCTTAATATTCTTCCTTTAATCTGTATGTTTGGTGTTTTAATTATTATGTGGCAAAGGGACTTATTTTTGGTCCAGTCTATTTGGTGTTTGGTAAGCTTCTTGTATTTTCATAGGCATGTCCTTCTTCAGGTTAGGAAAGTTTCTTCTATGATGTTGAATATGTTTTCTGCACCTTTAGGTGGATTTCTTCACCTTCTTCTATACCTATTATTCTTAGGTTTGCTCTTTTCACCGTGTCCCATTTCCTGAAAATTTTGTGTTAGGAATTTTTGAACTTAAGATTTTCTTTGGTCAATGAGTCTATTTCTTCTAGTTTATCTTCAGCACCTGAGATTATCTCTTCCATCTCTTGTATTCTGTTGGTTATGCTTGCATCTGTAGTTGCCGATCCTTTACCCAGCTTTTTTATTTCCAGCATACCCTCAGATTGTGTTTTCTGTATTGTCTCTATTTTACTTTCCAGGTCTTGAACTGCTTGAATTGTTTCCTTCACCTGTTTGATTGTTTTTTTCTTGGCTTTCCTTGATTTATTTAAGATATTTGTTGATTTCTTGCATTTTTTGGTTTGTCTTTTCCTGTATTTCTTCCATTGTTTTGTTTGGTTTTTTTCCCATTTCTTTAAGGGATTTTCTCATTTCCTCTTTGATGGTCTCTATCATTTTCATAAAGTTGTTGTTAAGGTCATTCTCTTCTCCTTCATCTGTGTTGGGATGCTCAGGTCTTGCTGGTGTAGAACCCCTTGACTCTGGTGGTGTCATATAAGTCTTTCTGTTGTTGAATGTGTTCTTATACTGTCATCTTCCTATCCCTTCTTCCATTGGGTACAGGTGGGGTCTCTCCCTCTCCTGGTGGGTATGGGTTCAAGACTCTTTCCTCCCCTCTCTCCCAGAGGGTGCAGGGGAAAGACAGGATGGTGGATGCTTTGTTCTGCCTCCAGGTCCCTCTGGTGGATTCGGTGACAGGAAGTGTCTTGTGGCCACAGGTCAGGGGACTCTAAGAGGGAAAGGTGAAATAATTTAAAGCATTGTGATCCTGTCCTGATTTGAAGATAAATGACAAAGTTTATAAGCATTAAGTAGGAAAAAAATGAAGATTTCTAAAATGCTCATTGTTGTACACATTATAGGAAAATATTCATAAATTTAAAATGTAGGGAATGGTTAATAAGGGAAAACATAGGATAAACAAATTAGTCATTTATGATTTTTTCACTTAATCTGAAAATATTCTTCAAAGGCAAAGAGTTGTTTGTTTGGACTTAACATGCAGTTAGTTAAATTATGGTCTTTTTTTTTTCAGAGAGGGTTTCTCTTTGTAGTTCTGACTATCCAGGAACTCACTTTGTAGATCTACCTGCCTCTGCTTCCCAAGTGCTGGAATTAAAGATATGCACCACCAATGCCCATCAATTTTAGGGAACCATAGTCAAAACATATGTCCTACATCAAAAATCCCTATCAAATATCATATTTCATGTTGCATAATAATTTTAGAAAGCATTTCTTTGGTTTACAAATACTTTTAAGTAATTTAAGCTGGATGTCATTTTCACTTGAAAAATCATATTTTCATACAATTGTCATTTTAAATGCTGATAAGCTTTCATAATAATGAGACACTTGCAGAACATAGAAATCATTCCATCTATGTATAGAGGAAAGACCTTACTATCTACTCACGGTAAAGCCTTACCTTCTACCCATAGTATGTATTGACAATTTTACCCCATAGAAAAAAATATAAAACATAAGTTAAAAATTAATATTAACATACAGGCAACCCACCAGTAGCAACCAAAGCTGACCTTCCTTAGTGCATTAATATTAAGGTGGCTATTTAAAGTCAATATTTGGGAGCAAATTTGAAAACAAATAAACATGGTATATTAAGTACTACAGATTTATATGATCCAGGGCTCACAGCAAGCATCATCTCAAAATGTTCCTTCCCATGCCCTGCAGAGCTCTGTACTGAAACCTGTGGGCTAGGGCTCTGCTACAGGACCCACAGTGCAGGCATCACAAAGGAGCACTTGGTCCAGTGACCTGCATGGCATTTTACCAGAAGTGGTGTCAACACTGAGTGCGTGCCTTCTTGCTTCAGCTGCGCCAAAACAAACAGTAACTTCCTCTTAGACCATCCAGCACAGAATCTAGGTTAATATTGTGTTTTATGTAAATAAGCCAAATTTTCTTTTCCAGAACAAAACCACAAAAGTAAATATGGTTTGTAGTTACTAATACCCATAATAAGGAAGAAGGAAGCTTGGCAACAAATAAAATAAAAGAAGTTCAAAGGAATTTTGATGGAGAAATTATAAAATTCCCTTATTTTCCCCTTTATGAGGATATATATATATATATATATATATATATATATATATATATATTTAACAAATACTCACATGTGAAGTTAAAATTGAAGTGATATTTCATTAGACATTATTTTTGGTGGTTTGGATCCTGAAACATTGAATTTCTCAGGAAATCTTCATACAAATAACTGTGATTTCAGTTGAGCATGGCATCTCACAACTGTAATTTCAGTGCTCAGAGACTGAGACAAGATGGTCATGAGTTCAAGGTCAGCTTGAACTAAAATGTGAGACTCACAAAACTAAAATGTGTAGCCCAGTCACAAAAAGACAAACATGGTATGTACTCACTCATATATGGATTTTACACATAGAGTAAAGGATTACCAGCCTAGAATCCACACTGCCAGAGAAGCTAGTAAACAAGGAGGACCCTAAAAGAGACATACATGGTCTCCTGGAGAAGGGGAAAGGGACAAGAAAGATCTCCTGAGCAAATTGGGAGCATGTGGGAAGGGGAGAGGGAACTAGGAGAATGAGAAGGGGAGAAGAGGGGTGTGAGGAAGACATGATGGGGCAGGGAGGTTGAGTTAGGGGAAGAACAGAAGAGAGGAAGATAAGAGATAATATAATAGAGGGAGACATTATAGGTTTAAAGAGAAATCAAGCACTAGGGAAATGTCTGGAGAGCTACAAAGATGACACCAACTAACAATCTAAGCAACAAAGGGAGGCTACCTTAAATGCCCTCTCCTGATAATGAGATTGATGACTAATTCATATGCCATCGTATAGCCCTCATCCAGCAGCTGGTGGAAGTAGAAGCAGACACACAGAGCTAAACCTTGAACTGAACTGAAATCCAGTTGCAGAGGAGGACTGATGAGTAAAGGGGTCCACACCAGGCTGTTGAAACCCACAGAAACAGCTGACCTAAATAAGGGAGAGCTCCTGATCCCCAGACTAATAGCTGAGAAACCAGCATGGGACTGACCCAGACCCCCTGAATATGGGTGTCAGTGAGGAGACCTCGGAAATCTATGGGACATTTTTATACACATTATGTCCTTCAAATTGACACCTGTGCATCCTCCTTTCTCCTCCCCTCCCCACTGGCCCCACTAGTTCCCTTATATTTCCCAAATAATCACCCTTATTGTTTAATGCTATACATGTTAATGTGTGTGTATACCTGTACAATCTAGGATCCATATATAAAGGGAAAATGTGATGTTTGTCTATCTGATTCTGGCTTATTTCATTTAATATGATGACTTCTAGTTTTAACGTTTTGTAAAAATTGTATGACTTTATTCTTCTGTATGGCTGACTGAAACTCCATTGTATGCATAAACTATCTGTTATTGGACACCTAGGACGATTTCATAACCTAGCCATTGTGAATATTGCCACAATAAACATGGAGTCTGGCAGCTCTGACTTGGACTCTTTAAAAGGTAGTTCCAGAGTTGTATAGCACGCATGGTTGTTTTGTTTTAATCTTTGAGAAATCTCCACACTGATTTCCATAGAGGCAGAATATTTACACTCCTACCATAGTGTGTGAGAGTTTCCTTTTACCCTTAACATCACCAACTTCTGTTGTTTTCCTCGTGACTGACATCCTGAAGGGTGAGATTGGGAATCAGGAAGTTTTGTATTTCATTTATTGAAAACCATCTCTTCGATCCACAAGGATTCTAAGCAATAATGGTGAGACTACCTTAAATGCCCTTCCCCTATAATGAGAATGATGATGTCCTTAAATGCCTTCCTAGAGCCTTCATCCAGTAGCTGATGGAAGCAGAAGCAGAGATCCACAGCTAAGCACTGAGCCAAACTCCTGAAACCCAGAGAGGGAGGAGTGACAAATAAAGGGGTCAAGACTATGCTGGGAAAACCCACAGAAACAGCTGACCTGAGCAAGTGGGAACTCATGGACTCCAGTTTGATAGCTGGAGAACCAACATAGGACCAAACCAGGTTTCCTGAATGTGGGCGTCAGCTAGGAGGACTGGGCAGTCTATGGGGCCTCTGGCAGTGGAATCAGGATGTATCCCTAGTGCACTAAAGGACTTCAGGAGCCCATTCCCCATGGATGTGTTACTCTCTTAGCCTAGATACACGGGGGTGGGGTGGGGGACTTGACAGATTTTTTAATGATCCTTCATGGAATGCCTCACCTTTCATGGGGAGTGGATGGGGGATGGGATGAGGGAGTCTGTGGGGGATATGGAAGGATGGGAGAGAACTGGGATTGATATGTAAAATAAGATTGTTTCTAATGTAAATAAAGTTTATTTTAAAAATCTCTTTTATTTTCTCACTTACTTATTGTATTATTTGGGGTGTTTAATTTTTCAATTCTTCATATATTCTAGGTATCAGTTCTCTCTCAGATGCTTAGCTATTAAAAACTTCTTCCAATCGGTGGGATGTCTCTTCCCTGTTGTTTCTTTTGCCATGCAGAAGCTTTTTAATTTAATGTGATTTAATTGTCAAATCTTAGAATTATTTTCTGAGCTATAGAGTCCTTTTCAGAATGCCGTTGCTTTTTTGACATACAGTATTTTCCCTGTGTTTTCCTCCCTGATGTCTGTCTCTTACAGTCTTTCTACCCTCTCTCCCCAATGGTCCCAGAAATACAGAGTGTTTTTTTAAAGTGCAACTTAATAATAATTTCATTGCTATCTGTTATAATGTCTTCCTTTTAATTTCTAATTTTATTAAGTTGGGTCTTCTTCACTATCTTTTGCTTAGTATGGCTAATGGTTTGCCAATCAATATCTTTTCCCCTAAACTAACTTTTGTTTTGTTGATTTTTTTCATTTCTATTTCATTAACCAATGCCCTGATGATTATTATTTCCTTCCATTTACTAATTTTGGTTTCTTTTGTTCTTGCTTCATAAGGCATTGAGATAAACTGTTGAGCTATTAACTTGAACTGTATATGATTTTAACAAGAACATTTTTTACTATTTTTTTCTTTCCAAAAGCAATATCATTGTGTCCCACAGATTCTGGTATGCTGTGTTTTCATTTTCATTTGGCTCCAGAATTATGTTTATTTCTCTCCAGATTAATTTAGTATCCATTAATAATTCAATAGTGTATATTTTCTGTAGTTTCTCTAGATGCTCATTTCTAGTTTTAGCCCAGTATGCTTCAATAAAATATAAGAGGCTGCATACACTTTTAAAAGTTTATTGACTTGTTCTCTATCCTAAATATGTTGATTTTGGAGAAAGTTCTCTGGATTGCTGAGAATAAGGTGCATTTCATGCTATTGGATAGAATAGTTAAAGAATGTCATTATGCTGGGCGGTGGTTGTGCACACCTTTAATCCCAGCACTTGGGAGCAGAGGTAGGCGGATCTCTGTAAGTTCGAGGTCAGCCTGATCTACAAAGCAAGTTTCAGGACAGGCTCCAAAGCAATACAGAGAAACTTAGTCTCAAAAAAACAAACAACAACAACAAAAATGAATGTCTATTATGTGCATTCAATCTAAGGTGTCATTAACTTTGATATTTCTTTGACAACTCTTTGGATGACCTTGTTAAAGTTGAGAATAGGATAATACAGTTATCCACTATCATCATCATCATCATCATCATTATTATTATTATTATTATTATTATTATTATTATTGTGATGATGCTGAAGTCACCTTGTGCC